ACCAGACACTGTAGGTTCCTCCCTCCGATGCCAAACTGGTTCTCTTCCAGTATTTCAGTGCCAGTGAATGTACCACTCTCCACCTCGCCTTTCAACCTGGAACCTCAGGGGATGCCTGTGACTGCCTCTTCTCCTTGCTTACTCCTATATCCAACTGCTGCCACTTGCTTCTTTTTCTTATTCTTTCTCCCATCCATTCCTGCTCAGTGTCCCTCTAGGCACCCTTTACTTTTTGTCTGAGCCTGCAAACTGGTTTGTCTGCTTTTGGTATCATCCTCAGTTCCCCTGAAACTACTTCCTGGCCACTCCCAATCCTCCATCAAACATGCCAGTCACACAAAACTACTTGCATTTCCCAGTGTTCTCTCACCTCCATATTTTCATGTGGCTTTATATGTCTTTCATCTCTATGATCTTTATACCCCTCTGCCTAGCATTCAACATCTTTTCCTGGTTAACCAATTCAACTTCTATTGATCCTTTAAAACTCAGATATCACCTTCTTCGGGAAGCCTCTTACTAATGTCTCTCTTCCCAGGGTCAGATTCCCTGCCTTTATACTGATACTTAACTATTGTCTCAAAAAAATATTGAGAACATAAAAAGTTCCTCTTCATTTCAAATTGAATGTAAAGGCAGAGGATAAATATTCATAAAAAAACTGTAGTAGACAGACTACATGATTGTAAACATGATTGTTAACTTAGCATTGCCCATTAAGGACTGTGATCCCTACATCTTAGGTATACACTGTCACCAGGCAGACACTGAAATCAGCCATACTTGCTAACAATGCCACTCCCTTATTTAGACTTACAAGGTATTGGGTAAAGGAGATGTTTTTCTTCTGGCCATTTCTTTCAGGTAGGATAATCAATTGGCTAAAAATACGGCACATCTATGGAAGCAGCTGAAATCTACATGTCCTAACCTCCTGCTCTGGGCTCTGGTTTAGTCTCTGTGGCTTCCTACTGGATGCTCTTTAGAGACATCAGGACAACACTTAAAAGCTAACATAGACTGTGTCCTCATTTACAAAATGATGACTACATCTCAAAGGATGTTTTTCTGACTAAAAAGTTATTTGGACTTACTCCTTGTGCTAACCTGGTTCCTCTGGGAACCTCTCATTACTGAGAATGGATACAATGCACAAAGACCCAGGCTCACCACCAGGGTCCCACCTCTAACAAAAGCATCACAGACTAAGAATGGTTGGCCAAGAGATCTTGAATGCATGCTTCAAAATATTAGAAATATGTTGACAATACCCACACATCCCTTGCTATAGTTAAGTATAGAAATTCAACTTATTAAATTTTCTCAAAACTGTAAACATCACACTTCATTTCAGAGGAAGATATTTCCTTCCTTAGCTTCTAAATTTACTTCTTTGAAATTTCAAGTATGCCTTTTCATTCTAGTATTATATGAATCCCTTTTAGATGCTCAGAAAACAAAGCTCTTAGCAATTAGTGTTTTGGTTACCTGGTGATGCCTTCCATGCTACTGCTAGAGGCACCTTTACAAGCATTGCTTGATTATAAAATACATTTTACCATAGAAAATTTCAGAAAGCATATGAGGGAAAAGTCCAACCCCAGAAATAATTACTTGGTCTAGCTCCCACTAGTCTAGATGGGATTATTTTATTTTATTTTTTAGTCAGTTGTGGGGCTTGAACTCAGGGCCTGAGCACTGTCCCTGAGCTTTTTTGCTCAATGCAAGTACTCTACCACTTGAACCACAACATTACTTCCATGTTTCTGGTAGTTAACTGGAGATAAAAGTCTCATGGACTTTCCTGCCTGGTTTGGCTTCAAACCATGATCTTCAGATCTCAGCCCTCTAAGTGGCTAGGATTGCAAGTGTAAGCCACCAGCATCCAGCAAGATGATCCTTTATGTATTATTTATTTTCTTTGTTTCCACCTAAGCCTTTTTTCTATATTCACAATACAAGGTAGCTTTGGTACCAAGCTTTGTTTAGAATGAGACACAGGTAAAATAAAGCTAGAGAAATAAATGACTTGGCAGTGATAGACTGCTCCCTGCCTATACCCCCACCGCCAGGGCAGCACTACTGCACTGCCATTGCTGAATCTCTCAGATGCTATCTTCTGCATCACTGGCTTCAAGCCAGGGTGCATCCTCTCTGAGGACTCCTCAGGCTGGAGAAACAGAAGAATACTGAACCACCATCCTTATCTTCCCCACACTCTCAAGGCCACCCCAAGCTCTGCTCATAGACTCTTCAGTCTGAAGGAATCACTTTCCAATTCTCCCTATATTTGTCCATTTCATTTTTAAAATTTTACATTTTTCAAAACCCATCTCTGAACAACAGCTTCTGTAAACGATTACACTCTGTGATAGGACCGAGTTGGTTTTATACATGTTCTCTTGATGTGGCCACTTCTTTGTGACAGCACAATGCTGATGAAAAGAGGCATATAGCAGAGTATGTGGAAGAGACCATTGGATATTTTATCAACAATTTTGTTTTTTTTTCAAGTAAGCAATGATGAACCTTTTCTCTTCATTTTTATCCTTAAAAGAATGTCTGATAAGAGAACAGCCAACTCTTTTTCTTCTTTTCTTTTTAAAAAATTTTTAAAAATTTTTGTGGTCCTAGAGTTTGAACTCAGGACCTTAAGCTTGCTAGCCACATGCTCTACTACTTGAGACAACCTCTCAAATCTTTTTTGTTTTTTTTTCCTTTTTTGCCAGAACTGAGGCTTGAACTCTAGGCTCGGGTCCTGTGGTTGAGCTTCTGAGGATTTTCCTGCTCAGGCTGGCTTTGAACTGTGATTCTCAGATCTCAGCCTCCTGAGTAGCTAGGATTATAGGCATCAGTCACTGGTCTGGTTCATGCCCTGAAATCATTTTTAAGGGTCTCCAATTTTGCCTAGGGTGACCAAGGGCATGATTTTCCTACCTCTGCCTCCCAAGTAGCTAGGAGTATAGGCATATACCACCATGGCTGGCTTTTCCTCTCCCTTTCTCTTTGGGGAATGGGAGCCCTTAAGTAAGTGTTCTACTACTTGAGCCATATTCTTAGTACCTGGCTGATTTTTTCAAATAGGATCTTTAACTTTTTCCCCCAGCTGGCAGTGAAACATATCATCCTGTCTTTACCTCTTGAGTAGTTGTAATTACAGATATAAGGTACCATGCTTGGCTTTTCTTCTCTAAGTTGTTTTTTCTGCTTTTTCTTGCTATTTGGGCTCTTCCAGTCCTATGGTGTGTCAGAGGCAATTTTAACAACTTCCAAAGATTAACATGAACGAGGCTGAAAAGTAGATGTTATCATTTTCACTGTGCAGTGGAGAAAACAGAGATTCTGAGAGATTACATGAAGTACTCCAAGCCTCCCAGCTGTGAGTTGGAATTCAAATTAAAAAACAAAACAAAAAAACAACAACAAAAAACTAGCTTGACCAATCCTTATATCCATATAACTGAAGGCCACAACTGAACATTTACTATAATAAATCCCAAATGCTAGGTAAGGATGTTCTTGATCTTAGAGGAGAAATATAGAACACCAAACCCAGGTAATGGGGACAGACACAAACACCAAGACCAATTCCTATGATCACAAAGAACAGGCTTCCTCCAAATACTGGGAGATAGCTCAAGGTCATTTCATTGTTGGTCATATCTAAAAAGAATGAGGGCAATGGGACCCATGGTCCTGGAGTATGTCTGTGAACTTCTGGCAAGAACCCTGACATGTCTTCACATTATTTCCCAAGTGAGTCCTCACCATTGGCCTCACACCCAGTTAGAGTAGACAGCCAGCCCAGCTCACCTGCATTTCTTGGGAAGCAGCATCCCAATACATGACAATTTACTTGTGAGAGAACAGCCTGCTTTTTCCATTTGTATATCATGAAGTCACACAAATTCAACCACTTATTGCCAAGCATCAATGTGTTCTTCTGTTAACACATGAAACAAGCAAGCCTTTTACAGAACGCTCCATAAACAGCAGAGTGCAGGAACTACCACACCACCACACCAGTGACCTCCTGTGGGATGGCCATGCCCACAACAGAGGTTCCTGAGACTCTCAGTCCCACTTTCTTCCCAGAAAGCAGACATACAAGTTGACTTGGCTTTTTAGTATTCTGACCTGCAGCACAGGTACTCACATAGCCCATACTTAAGTCTGTTAGAAAGGCTAATTCGGACCCTGACATTACAGTCTCGAGGAATGATAGACTTGGGGTTCAAGCCTATCCAAACAAAGTGCACCACCTCCCCCCAAATCTGTGTCCTCAGTACCCATCACCACCAAAGCCAAAATCCAAATTGCCCTATCTCTTCCCTGTAAGAGGCACTTGGTTTGCTGCCTTCTCCACCCACTCTCAGGGAGGCCCTCATCATTTCTTGCCTAAGTGATAACTTTCTTACAGTTCCAGTATTTCCTTCTTAATACAGGCCAGAACTGTCTTGCTCTCCACCTACTTGCTCTCAAACCCTCAGGAACTTGCTACTACCCACAGTAGAAAGTACAGCTCCTGACCTGGGTTGCTGGGGTCCTGATCAATCCAAAAAGGTGGCTGGAATGGTAACCTTTTTTTCCTTACCTTTCCTTCCTGCCAGATCAAGGACAGTCTAAACAAGTCTCATCTTTCCACAGCCCAAGCTACTCCCTCTCTCTTTTTAGAATGTCTCCTTTCTACCTGATGGGCCTAGAAGGGCTCAACACTGACATCTCCTCCCACAGGAAGCCCTCCTTAATGGTCCCAACTCAATGAGTAGGTATTACACAGAACCTATGCCCACCTCCACCTCCACGGCACACACACCACAACAGCATTATCACTTTTTCTGCAGTATCTTTTCTACCAGCCTGTTAGCTCATTTCACTGTCCCTAGGATCCAGCGTGGTGATCAGCACACAGTAAATATTTGCCAAACCAAAGAGCCTAGAAATCCAAGCCCACTATGCTGCCACCTTTTGCCCTTTCTTGACATCAAAGTTGGACTTACCAACACAATCGCAGGTAGGGAACTCAGCCTGGGCCCTCTTTGCAGGTGTGTCCAGCAGACTCTTGGTGGGTGTGTCCAGGTACTTAAGAGGTGACTCCAAGAAACCACTGAGGGTGGGTGTGAGTGGATTCTCAGCCTTAGTGGGTGTAGCCTCCTGGCTTACTTCCTCTGAATGGAAGCAGGTGGTTGAAAGCACAGTCACAGCTCCTGAAGACTCAATCTTGATCTGCTTGGGAGAGCGGGTGGCAAAAGGGCTTTCAGGGGCTGGGATACAAGTTGGCTGGTTCTCGGTGTCTTGAATGGGCACAGAAGGGGGGCCAGGAAGCCCAAAGCTATCCCCAAATTCGGCCTCAAACTGCCGGATGAGCTCTTCTAACTTGTCATCGGCAGGGGGAAGGGGGCCAGTGGAGCCTGGCTGCAGTGCTGCCATAGGGCTAGGGGACCTCATTTCCTGAGTAGGGGGCAGCAGGCTGTCCCCGGAGGGACTAGGTGCAAATAGCGCAAGAGAAGGTTCTGGGGGCAAGGGGATGGCAGAGCCCTGTGTGGTAGGAAGAGGGTCAGGGAGAGGGGCTGGTGGAGGTGCCTGCACTTCCTCAGAGGCTGGGGATCTCAGCCCTTCCAGAATGATCTGCCTGAGAGGCAGGAAGAGAGGCTGCACTTCCCGGGACCTGGACTTCTTGATCTGAATTGGCTTTCTGACACTGGGCTTGATCCCAGGGGTTGCTTTCTCCGTTCCCACAAGAGCTCCAGCTGGTGTAGAGGGCTTCTTCTTCTTTTCCTTGGGTGGTCTATCTGGAGGCCGGGGGGCAGGTGAGCTTGGTGGGGCCCACCAGCCAGAAGCAGGAGGCTCTGATGGAGCAGGGAATGAGGCATCACGGGCCTGTTCTAGAAAGAGACTGCGCTTGTGGTGGAGGTGCTGCTGCAGGGCCGTCTGAGCCTTCTGGTGGGTGTCAGGTTCTGATGACGGTGGGGGAGCCTCCCTCTGGAGATTGGGGGATGGTGATGGGGCTGGGGAGGAAGAAGATGCCTCGACTTTGACCTTGGGCTTGGTGGGCAGGGCCTCAGGTCTCTTGAATACTGACTGGATGTAATCACTGGCGCTGCCCAACAGCTGCTCCAGTTCAGCCATGGGGTCAGGGCTGGGGCGGGAAACAGGCCAGGAGTTCCGGGGGTTTGTTGCTGGTGGGGTTTCAGTGCCCCAGGCCTCAGAAAACTCAGTCCTTGGAGTTGCTTGGGGGAAGGCTGGGCTATTGGGAACAAATGGTGGGTGTTCCTCAGGGGGAACCACAGGCCATGAGGGAGCCCGGAGGTAGGACTGGGGGGACCTGAAAGGGGCAGAAGGGGACAAGGCCTCAGGGAGGGGACAAGAAGCCTGGGAAGTGGAATGAGAAGGCTGGGGGAGGGCGGAAGAGAGCTGTGTGAGTGCCTCGATGGCAATGGCGGTCTGCAGGCTGATGTTCTTTTCCTTAGCGATGCTCAGGGCACTCTGGGACAGGGGCAGACCCTCCAGGGGAGGTACCTGGGGGACCTCAGCGCTAAGGAGTGGCCTGGTGCTGGGTGCGGGGAGGCTAGCATCTCCAGGAGGCAGAGGCCCTGGGAGCCGGGGCCGCTCCTGCCCTCCCTCCATGACCACAGACTTGATCTTCCCCTCCAGCCACTCGAGGTAGTCAGGGCATTCTGGGCCATCGCAGTTGCAGTTGGGTGGTTTCATGCCATGCCGTGCAAGGGCCAGAGCTGTCTGCAAGGTGTCAAGGTCTTCACTGCCAGCAGGGCAGCCTTCAGGCCCTGGCCGGGGGCCCCTGTTGTTGTTCCCAGCCTCACGACTCATCTCACGGTTGAAGGTTTCATAGAGCCGGGTGCTAAGGGCCCCATAAGAGGATACAGCTTCGGCCACAGCCGAAAAGGCCACCAGATCGTGGGCATCTTCCAGGCGAGCAGTGTGGGCTGGGGCTGGGGCAGCGTCCCAGTTGGGCTTCTGGTCTACCCGCCAAGGACCCGCAGCTCCCAGTAGACTGGGTCCGGCGGGCTCTCTAGCACCATTGACCGGCGCCCCTGAGGTGCTTAGCTGCCTTGAGTCCCCATGGTACACTGGCCCTGAGTCCATCTGACCTGGAACAGGTCCATCAACCGGGCTGAGCTCTGAGCCTGTCTGGAGAGAGAGGAAAGAGGAAAAAGGGAGGAAAAAAAATGAACCATGCTGTTGGAAAAGCATTTCTCTGCTTCACAGCACCAGGGGCATTTCTAATCCCCATTTCCTTAGAAATTCTATTGAACTGACCAAGCCTCAGTTCATCTTCCCACACTCCATTCCTTAGTTGGCTTTACCAGCAAAAATGGGAAAGAAAAACTCTTTAAGAGATCCTGATGTGGAATCTCATGTTGCTCATGCTCTCTGAGAGCCTGAGTTTGACCCCTGACAGGACTCCCACAAAACTAAGATACCAGAAAAAGGTCCTTAACTTACAATGTCCAAAAATCTCACAGGATCCTGTTTGCTTTAATATTTTTTGTCAAGAGGGAAAGAAAACTAACCAAGTTCATATGCTGTTCAGGAGTAAAAAAGGCTGTGTTCCCTCAGCTGACCAGGACTCAGCCATACCATCCTAAGTAAAGAACCCAAAGTTAGCCGGGTGCCAGTGGCTCATGCCTATAATCCTAGCTACTCAGGGGGCTGAGATCTGAGGATCACAGTTCAAAGTCAACCTAGGCACCAGAAGACCAGAAATGGATCTGTGGCTCAAGTGGTAGAGAGCTTGCCTTGAGCTGAAGAGCTGAGGGACAGCGCTCAGGCCCAGAGTTCAAGCCCCACAACCAACCCCCCCCAAAAAAAAGAACCCAAAGTTTCTTGCTCTGTCAAGCCTTTGCTTAAGCACAGGTTGACCTTAGGGTGCTAGTGACATACCCAACCTTCCCTCGAGCCATTGATCACACACATAAACAATACACCTAATGTATACAAAACACACAAAAGAGAAGGCATGACAGAAAGGCCCAATCCAATAAGGTAAAAGCTAATACATAATAAAACTGTTTGCAAGACTTTTTTTTTCCAGTTTTAAACTCAGAACCTTGTTCTTGTTAAGCAGCCACTGTACCACTTGAGACACATCCTTATCCCTTTTTGCCTTAGTATTTTTCCTCAATCTCTCTTTTCCTCCTCTCCCTGACCGGTGCTTCCCCTCCCCCACCCATCCAGGCTAGTTTGGACTGTGATAATCCTATTTATGCTTCCTGAGTACCTGAGATAACAGGTGTGTACCACCATACCCAGCTCCATACCCAGTCAAGATATGGTCTCAGACTTCTTGTCTGGGCTAGCATTAAACTGTGATTCTTTCAGTCTCCAAGTAGCATGAGCTACAATGCCTGGCCTGTTTGCAAGCCTAATCTCTTACCAAAAATTTTTCCATAATATAGAACACCAAGGAAAAGCATAGAAGGAATGACAGACTTTGAAAGTCATAGTGGAAGCTGCTAGTAGTAGGTAGAAGACTGATGAAGTACAGATCAGTATACACATGGTCTATGAAAGCCTCTTGAAGATTACTTCATTACAATAATAACTTCATGGTTGTTACAGTTGGATCTAGAATGTTCCCAAGGTTCATTTGTTGAAGGCTTGGTTCCTGGTGGGTGGTGCTTCTGGGAGTTGGTAGAAATTTTAGAAAGTAGGGCCCAATGGGAGGATGCTTTTGGAGGGATATTAGTACCTCTACCCATTTGCCTCTCTCTCTCTCTCTGCTTCTTGGCCTCCATGAGAACAGTTCTGCTTGCTACATGCTCCTCACTGACATGATGATGTTCTGCCTTACCACATGCTCATAGCTATGGGCGAAGTAACTGGACACTGAAATCACTGAAACCATAAGCCAAAATAAATCTTTCATTCTAAGTTGCTTGTCTCAAGTACTTTATCACTAATAGTGGAGAACTCTAGTAGGCATCGCCTTAACCAAATAAGCAAAGTTAGCATCACCAACATCATGTGCCTCTTAATTATACATTGATAACACCAGTCACACAGAACTCCTGCCAAAATCTAGAATCTGGATCTATTCATGAGGAAATGAAAGATAAACCCAAATTGCAGGGTGTTGTACAAAGTATTTAGAATGTTCTCTTCAAAAATCTCAAAGTCAAGAATCTTTTCCAGTTTAGATTCTAAAATGAGGAAAGGTGGCACTATAATACAAAAAAGGTGGCAAAAATATATGGGGACAATAGATAAAATTTGAATATTGACATAGATGATCCTGTGAACATCTTAATCTTCTTGACTTGGATCATCGGACTATAGCTATATGAGAATTGTTCTAACTCTTAGGGTATATACAGAAGTATTTAGGATTAAAGAGGCACAGTCTCAATCAGATTAAAAAATAATTACATTCATAATAACATGCAGAGAAAATAAAGTAAATGATGCAACATATCAACTTTTTGAATAGGATGGAGTTCCAAGAACTATTTTTGCAACTTTGGTATATGTTTCAAAAAATTCTATCAAAATTAAAAGTTAAAGACAGTTTAGTCCTTTTGGTAAAACACAAGTGTTTTAATTGGGTGGCTAAGAGGAAGCCAGATCCAAGACTTTCAGATATGGTGATGATGGGCTCCAAAGTAGTGAAGAAAACTGGGACTTGGGGAAAGCTCTTTGGGAGGTGAGACCTGCCCGCAGCTCCTGCTTCATTTCCGTCATTGCTCCTGTTCTGGCCACAAAGAATTCTCTTATTTCTCCAATAGGCCTAGTTCTCTAAGATCACCAAGCTTTGTACATGCAGCTTTTCCAGCATCTTAGATGAATTACTCTGACTTATCCTTCTAGCAGTAGTTTATTATCACCTATTCTCTTACCCAGTTAGCAGATGTTTTTGTGGCCTCTGCCCCTGAGCTCTCAGGACACCCTGTACACTGTGGCTCCCAGGTTCCCATGGTCCCTCTGTGAGCACTTACCACATGCTATAAACTATTTTCTGTTCAAGTAGTTGCCTCCCCCATCTAGTGGTAGCTCCCACAGGCAATGTTCAGATCCTAATGACTTCTATGTCTTCTGCTTGTAGCTGAGGCAACTTCATACTCCTGAGAGAAAGAAAGGCCTCCCTTTCCTATTGGTCATGGAATAGGGCAACCCTTACCAACACTGGTAAAAGACTACCTTTCTAATACCTAGGATGTGCCTAATGACCCAGCACTTCCTTCTTTCTTAGAAACCTACACAGATGTGGCTAGCAGACTACAAAATCTGAAGTGATCAAATTTTACCTACTTCTGTACAAAAGACGAGCACATATAACCAAGAGGAAACATGAAAGAATAGCATGGATTTACAAAAACAATGTCAGAAAGACTAATGCTGCATGAGCAGAGGCCTCCCCAAAATGGTCAGGTCAGCTAAACAGGGATTTAAGAAGATATTTTTGGTGTGTGAATAAGAACAAGGAAGGGGTAAGGCTAGCTATGTGCCTCTGAATTTCCTGAAAAAGAAAATGTGTTCATAACCTTGGACAAAAAAGTTCAGGAACATTGCCCAGGCCCAGAGTTCAAGCTCCAGGATTGGTGTGTATATGTGCATGTGTGTGCACACACACAATGCTTTCAGACTAAAAAGAGAAGAGAAAAAAAATAGATGTAGGTTATGAGGTGAAGGAAGTGAAGCTAGTATGGATGGAAGATTTCAAGAAACCCTAAGTACCAGTTTCCTGGCCAACAGATCCCACCATTTCTCAACACTTGCCAATCCTGGAATAAACTCACCAGCAGGAGAAGCTGCCAACGGGCACAGTGTGAAAGCATCATTTCTAACACCTAGTCCACCAATATGAAGAATCCAGTAGGATTCCTGAATGAGTAAACAGAGGAAGCACAAAGAGCCTGGTTCTATGGCAAACCATGCCTCGTGTCATATAATCAAGTAGATGGAGAGATACTATGGCGGATGGTTCATAAATCTGGGGCCAAATATGCCTCATATTTTACTTGGCCCATACAGTACTTGTATTTTTTTTGCCAAAATTTAAAAAAAAAATCAACCTGTAAATAAAATCTGTATTTTCTTGAAGGTTCATTTTGCCCTGGAAAATCTGTTAACAGAGCAGTGGCTACTGGTTACACAGATCATAATGTCTCCACTTCACACCCGATTTCACCATCCACGTTGCTTTCTACGAATCAAGGCCAGAGGTCAGGGATTGATTACTTACTAATTGCCTGAATTAATTATCACATCATTCACTGTGCTACTTGCTAAGCCCTTGCAAGCATTTAAGTTTGCAATTTGGTCTGTAGATGGTCAAGTTTCATAAGGTCTGCTGTGGCCCCTTTGAAGCAAGCTACATAGAGTTAGGGGCTCACTAATGGCTAGAGGGTCATATGCAAATGATACAAGTGGTGTATTAGCTGGTGAAGGGGAAATCTCCAGCAGTCTGCAACAGGGCTATGTTCTTGGACCAGTCCTATTTGACATATTTAAGCAATAACAATAGAGAAGGCTGGGAAGGTGGCTCAATGGTAGAATGCTTGCCTTGCATGCATGAGGCCCTGGGTTCGATTCCTCAGCACCACATAGGCAGAAAAGACCAGAAGTGGTGCTGTGGCTCTAGTGGTAGAGCGCTAGCCTTGAGCTGAAGAGCTGAGGGATAGCGCCCAGGCCCAGAGTTCAGGCCCCATGACAAAAAAAATAAAAATAAAAATAAAATAGAGAAGGCACACTTATTGAGGAGGCAGATTTTGAAAACAGGAAGGATAAACTGAGTACCAGATGCCGAAAGGTCAATAGGCTAGAGATAAAAGCTTAACAGGGAAAACAGAGTCCCATACTAAGGCCCTAAACTACATCATGCAAACAACAGATAGGAGAAGCAAATAACAATGTCAGTAGTGTGCATTAAATGTATTAGGAATTAAGAAAGATAAAAAGATGACAGTTAACTGATGGTACACTCAGTACAATGTGATATAGCAGTTTCAGTCTGCAACTTGTGGTTTATTCAAACTTTCTGACTACAATGAATGGTAAGAAATACATTTTATACTGCAATCAATTAGATATAATACTTCCCCCACAATACTAGATGAATTAATATGCCTTTTTCTTTTCTTTCCTTCCTGTTTAAGGCAGGCTGAGACCTCTTCTTTTTCTTTCTGCAGTAC